GGGGACGTTAATGGGATGTTATAGGACTCCTAAGTTCAGGGGTAATGAAGGACAGAGGGGATGGATTAGAACTGATCCTACCAATTAGTTTCAGTATTGTAATTTAATCATCTTAGTTTAATGGCTTTGTTTAAATATCTGCAATTGATTTCAAATATTGTAACAAACTAATGGGATGTTACTGGATGTTAATTAAACTCCCAAGATCAGATTTAAATACCAATTGAGTGTTAGGAATAGACCAGAGATGAAGAGAACGGATTGAAACAGAGCAGGAACGGATTGAAGCTTGCAGAGGGGGAAAGAGACGGCTTCACAGAGAAGAGAGACGTCTCCCACCAACCATAGAGCCGGCTCCAAGGATCCATGGAGCCGGCTCCATGCATAAAAAAAGGCTCTAAGAGCCTGCTCCTTAGAAACTTTGAGCAGGCTCTTTTCTGAAATTCATTTTTGATTTATTTTTAAGGCGTAAAAACTTTACTGTTGGAGCACTTGGGTTCATGAACAGTTTTGAAACATTAATGGGGTTTTCAATAATTATTCTAAGATGTAATTAAGGTCTTGAATGGCATAAAATACCCTCTTTATATTAATGGAGTTAATAGTGTGCTATTTAACCCCTACGCGTCGGTTAACGGCTGGAAGGAAATTAATTGTCTAGTTTTAATTTGACAATTTAAGATGTTATATAATGATTCTAAATTAAGTTTAAAAGCACAGTTAAGTTTTTTAAATTAATAGATTGGACTTAGAGCATAGTGCATGGCTCTGGCTAAACGATAAAACAGAATATAAGTATACAACTTAGTACCCTGTTGTCGGATGGAAGGAATTAAATTGCTTAAATTAATTTAGTAATTTATTGGACTATAATATGATTATAGAATTTATTCTAAATGCATGATAGAGTCATTGGTATATTAGAGGTGATCTATGTATTCTCTGGATGTTAATTGCTGAATTATTAATTGCTTCTTGCAACTATATGGTTTAACGCTTGGATTTAAATTGCTGAAGCATTTAAAAATCTGCTGCAATTAATTGGATATTGGTTTTGGATTTTAAATTGCTGTACTATCATTCATAGTCTGTAATTTACATGGTTTTGGTTTTAAGTTGTTGAAATACTAAATACTATTCTGCAACGATATGGATGGTTGGTTTTGGACTATAAATTACGCGCTTATTATTTATGCCTTGTAATTTACCTGGATATGGAGGATTGTATGCACCGGTATGGGACGGTGGCATACTAGGTATGGTTTAGCTTAAAATGCTAATTCCTACCTTATGGATTTTAAATCGGTGAACAGTTTTACATGTTCTATCAGTTATATGGATTTTGTGGATTGTATGCACCGGTATGGGACGGTGGCATACTGGGGACAGACTGATTCAAAATACTCAGTCCTACCTATTTTGGGAAGAAGGGTACGAATTATAAAAACATAATTCTCCTTATATTTAAGTCTGTGCAGTTGAATAAACTGAACGACTTATTGGATCTCTTATATAACTCTGTGCAGCTGAATAAGCTGAACGATTTATTGGAGTTCCTATGGATGGATTTGAATGGACTTTAAATATATGTTTATGGTACCACGAGATGAGCTTGAGTCTCAGACTCGTTGGTTAGGACGCGTATATGCAGTGGATGCGTAGCTAGCTATAGTAGGTTGAGGTGTACCCTGTTAGGTCTAGGTACTCATGCCCACCTTTGGGTGCGTTTTCGCATGTTACCTTCTATTCAAGTTGAGACCTCTACTGTAGTTCAGTGAATGTCCCATAGTGTGGATATATATATGTATGGACTAGATAGATATTGTGAGGTATCTACGGTGTATCTGCGTATCGGGTCACTGTATGGATTGCAGCTAGATTAGAACTTGCTCGTGGGCCTGACCCACTCTTCTATTATTCTTTACAGGTGTTTGTTAGTTCCAGGCTGCAGAGCTTGATCGTGCTGAGCAGATACAGTTGTTCACTCCACCGATGACATAGGAGTATATTTTGTGTGTAGACTTGGGTTTTGTTTCCCGTCTTTTGAGTTCAGTGGGTTATTTTAGGGGTCCACTAGATGGATTCCTGAATTGTATTGGAGAACGATATGTGTTCGTGGTGAATCAGTTGTATCTGAAATATCTTATTTATCAATGGAGTTATTTTTCTGAGGTTTTCAAATATTGGATTACTCTTTTAATTTTCATTTCAGCAAATTTTATTTATCTCTTTTGATATAATTATTCTGTGTTCGATTATTGCTAATTGTTTTGATATCCTCGGGTAATCGGGTGTGGGCCTGGCCAACCCGCATCTGGAAATCTGGGGGGTATTACAGTGAATTATCTGAAGAAGTATACATGGATCTTCCACCAGAATGCATGATACCCAAAAAGTATAGTCTAAAGGTCTGCAGGTTAAAAAAATCATTATATGGGTTGAAACAATCTCCGAGAGTATGGTTTGGAAGATTCACAAAGTCTATGATAGCCTTTGGCTACCGTCAGAGCAATTCAAGCCACACGTTATTCTTGAAGAAACAGCAGGATAAAATCACTATACTCATTGTATATGTAGATGACATGGTGGTTACAGGGAATGATCCTTAATAAATGAAGGCTCTCAAGAAGTACTTGTCCAAAAAATTCGAAACGAAAGATTTAGGTTCTTTGAAATATTTTATTGGGATCGAAGTGTCTCGATCTAATAAAGAAATCTTTTTATCTCAAAGAAAATATGCCTTAGATCTATTATAATAGACTGGCATAACAGCATGTCAACCAACTGAGACACCAGTGGAAGAAGGATTGAAGTTATGTGTTGAGTCCAACCAAGTACCTACTAATAAAGGAAGATACCAAAGACTTGTAAGGAGATTGATATACTTAGCACACACGAGACCGGATCTGGCTTATGCATTGAGCATTGTTAGCCAGTTTATGTATGATCCTGGAGAGCAACATATGAATGCAGCTATGCGCATTTTGAAGTATCTGAAATTTGCTCCTGGAAAAGGAATTTTGTTCACTAAAAATATTGGTTATCAAAACATAGATGCATATACTGATGTTGACTGGGCTGGAGCTATAAATCATAGGCGATCTACTTCTAATTACTTTGCTTTTGTAGGAGGTAATCTTGTTACATGGAGAAGTAAGAAACAAAATGTTGTTGCTCGCTCAAGTGCAGAAGCTGAATTTAGAGGTATAACGCTTGCACTTTGTAAAACATTGTGGTTAAGACTTCTCTTACGGGATTTGAGTTATCTACCTGGGCAACCTATTTGACTATATTGTGACAATAAAGTAGCATGTAATATTGCTCATAATCCAGTTCAATACGATCGTACGAAACATGTCGAAATAGACAGATTCTTCATTAAGGAAAAGTTGGATGGGAAAATTGTGAAATTGCCTAAAATTCGATCTGAGGATCAACTAGCTGACATTCTCACCAAAGCAGTATCAAATCAAGTGTTTTCAAAAATTTTAGACAAGTTAGGCATGTGCGACATCTATGCATCAACTTGAGGGGGAGTGTTGAGATTTTATCTTTTGTAATCTGGGATTAAACAAATTGTACAGCTATAAGATTAAATTATTTACTCCCTAATTTAAGGCTAATTGGTAGGTAATTAGTTTCCTGATTATTATATAATTAGTTACCGATTTTAGTTAGGTCTTATTCTATAAATTGAACGTAACATCTTCAATAAATGTATCGAATATAGTTTTAATTCTCATATTCTTACACTGAATTTCAAGAGTTATTGGGTCTATGGAAATGCATGATAATACAATTTGATTTCAGAGTGGTTTTGGATGTTGGCACTGACAGCTGCTGGTTGCATAAGTCATTTCCGGTGAAGGGGTGAGCGGTTCTCGCGGATATGGAAATGCATGATAGTACAATTACAAGGGTAAGTGTTTTTTACATTATCGGTACTATTGGTAGAGAAGAGAGAATTGTCTCACTGGAGCTAAACATTTATCTTGGACTTTAACTACATTATTTTTGCTTAATTCATCATCCTTAATTTAATTTCATATGAATGCAGTTGACATTAATTATATTTACTTAATTGCTTAAAAAATTTTCGTTCAACTAAAATTTAATAAGAGAAAAGTTTCATATCTTATAACTCTTTAAGCTATCTCACCACTAGTTAGTTGTAATCTATTTCTTTTTTTTTTTTTTTTTTTTTTTTTTTTTTTTTTTTTTGAACTCTCAATTATCGTTAGCTGAAGCTATGATTCTTCTACATGATTTTGCCTTTGTTTTTTTTTTTTTAGAGTGCAGTGGTGTTTGGCTAGACAAGGTGAGAAATACGGTATTTATGCAGCCTGTGGAGGAAGTGATGAAAAACTGTGTATGATGAGTTTACTCGGTGTGTGAGTAGCTTTATTACGAACTATTTAGAGTCTTTTTATTTTTTTTATTTTTTCTAGTTTAATATTTATTGTTGAAGTGGTAGTAAATGTGAGCCTACAAAAAAAAAAAAAAAAAATGAAAAGACCGTGGCCCCAAACAAATACTCAGGTAGAAGGTCCTCTGTAAAAAGTGTGTGCTCGCATCTCTCTTTTCTTATCTTTCCTCTTTGGCACTCTCACCCTTCATTGGGTCAATTTTTTTTTTTTTTTTTTTTTTTCATGAAAAATAGTACGAAAAAAGGAGGACAAAAAAAATTATCTCTATGAATAAATTGTCTACAAAAGAAGAAGTTATTTTTATTGAATAAATTATTTATTTTGACAGAACTCATAAAAAATTATCAAAAAATAAATTACCGCTTTTTACGTAAGTTTGTTTAATAAATTATTTGTATTGATTGTACCAAAACAAAAGTCACAGAATAACTTTTTGACTCTCAAAATTAAAAATATTTAAATAGAATAAATTGTCTTCCTTGAGTGGACCACCGGAAAAAAAAAAAAAATTGTACAGGAAAAAAAAAAAAAATTAGAATTATATGAAGGGTTATTAGGACATTATAAAAGAAGGGATGATACATGAATGAATATAAATATTTTCTTGTCATTTAAATTTGTTGTCCATTTTGGTCCATAGTGTTAGGGGGCTTTAATCTCAATCGAACCAACTTTATGTCAAGAGAAAAGCCTAGCCCAAATCCCAAATTTTAAGGTTAAACGCTACTTTGGCTGCTGCTATAAAAATACATAGTGAACGACGAACTCGAATTATCGTCACTGTCATCGTCACAGTCCGAGAGAAGGTTCAAGAGCACCTGCTAGGATTAACAAGGATCAGGTGAGTTCCACATTACATTCACAATCACTTTTCATTACCAATGATTTATATGTACACTAAAACACTCTTAGTTGTTCGTTTTAGATGCTCTTCTCTTTTCGATTCAACAATCCATAAACTGTATGCTCTTCAAACCCATCATCCACTTTCTTCATCTCTCAAATCGATCTCAACTTCCACTAATCAACGCTCTTTTACAGTCGATTACCTCATCAATTCATGTCGGTTCAGTCCAGAAACTGCTATTTCTACTTCCAAGAAAATCAATTTTAAAACCCTAGACCAACCAGATTCAGTTCTCAACTTCTTCAAGAACCATGGTTTCAGCATCACCCAGATCTCAACTCTCATCAGAAAACGCCCAGAACTTCTCTTATCGGATCCCAGTAAAACCCTTTTGCCCAAATTCGACTTCTTTTACTCCACTGGCATTTCCAGCACTGACCTCGCCAACATAGTATCCACTTGCCCAACTTTATTGATACGAAGCTTGGAGAACTATATCATCCCATCTTTCACTTTGTTCATTAATTTATTTAATTCAAATGATAAGTTTATCGCGGCCGTGAAACGATTTCCTAGGATTGTAGAGCGCTATTGCAGTGCTATTACATTCTCCAACATTGAAATCTTGAGACAACATGGTGTGCCAGATTCCAATATTGTGTTCTTGCTCACTTCTCACAATTGGTCACTCAGCCTCAAGCCTGATAGATTGAGTGCGGTAGTGGAGGATGTTAAGAAAATGGGTTTCAACCCTTCAAAAGTCCAGTTTGTTATAGCGGTTCAGGCATTGAAGTCAATGAGCAAAACAACATGGAAAAGGAAGATAGAGGTTTATGAGAATTGGGGTTGGTCTGAGGAAGAAACAATGTTGGCTTTTACAAAATATCCGTGGTGTATGATAATATCGGAGGAGAAGATAATGGCGGTGCTGAATTTTTATGTGAACACAATGGGTTGGGAGTCTTCCCTAATTGCCCATCGTCCACAATTAATGTCATTCAGCTTGGGTAAGAGGATAATTCCCAGGTGTTCAGTACTTCAAGTTTTGTTGTCAAAAGGTTTGATCAAGAAACCCGTTTGTGCACTGACATTGTTGAGGTCTGGGGAGAGTTTGTTCCTCAACAAGTATGTGACCTGTTATGAGGAAGCTCCTCAGTTGTTGAAACTATATCAAGAAAAATTACATGGTCATGAATCATGATTGTGACAGTAAGAGGAAGCTTCCTAACTGAAGTGGTTTACACATCCCCTGTTCTTGCTTTCATTTTCACCCTCTTATTTGACAGCGCCACCTTTTTCAATTAGGTCGTCCACAATTAATGTCATTCAGCTTGGGTAAGAGGAAAATTCTCAGGTGTTAAGTACTTCAAGTTTTGTTGTACTAAGGCTTGATTAAGAAATCTGTTAGCGCACATACATTGTTGTATTACTCAGAGAGTTTGTTCCTTAAGAAGTTTGTGACCTGTTATAAGGAAGCTCCACTATTGTTGAAATTATATCAAGAAGAATCGGAGCTTTCATGATTGTGAAGGTAAGGGTGGAACTTGTCAGTAACTGAGGTGTCTTACACGTCACCTGTACTTGCTCAGATGCTCTCATTTCCAACCTCTTCTCTCAGGGCACCACCTTTTCGGATTAGGTCTTTATGAACAAGTATTTTCCTTGGATTTTAATGATCTTAGTTCAATAAAAAAAAAAATTATTTTTTATTTTTTGGACTATGTTAGAAAGTGTTTAGAGTTGTTGTGCTGCACTTTTATGTCTTATATTAATCATGTATGATTTAGCTGAATTATTATTGTTGTTGTTGTTGTTGTTGTTGTGTGTGCAACTAACTAAATTATTGTCATGTTATAGGTAGATTGCTGATTTAATTCAATTCTACTTACTAAGCAACTGTTGTGGGATTTAGTAATAATCTGCGCATTGCTATTCTTCATGTTCATTTTAATGTGCTTTTGGACATGTATGTATTATACACTTTTATGTGCTAGTTTACCAACATGTGAACAATTAGACATTTGATATCCAGGGTGTCTAAAACGCCCTTACAAGTTACAAACTCCTTATATGACCCAGCCTTATAAAACCTCATTTTCGGTCACCTTCTTATTTCCCCTGCCATTTGTTTCTCTTCTCTCTCGTTTATTGAACTTTTATATATATATATACATATACATGGTGTATATAACTTGCAACAAACAGTGAAAAGGATTCTAGTTTTTCAGTATACTTCTTTCGATAAAATTTGCAGTATAAATACAGAGTCAAAGCATTTACAGACGTTAATGCACATAAAAGAAACATAAAACTTGCACAAACCATCAAAATAAAGAAGCAATGATAAATTAGAAATGAAATAAAATAAAGAGCTTTGTGGATCAATTTTAGTCACAGACCTTGTGTCCTTTGGTTTTATTTTAGTCATTGAAGCAAAATCCTAGTCTCAGTTCGATCGTTTGCGTTAATTTGCAATTTCGTTGTTTAAATGTACTTGTATTGGTGAATGAACAAAATAGTACTATATTTATATTTTTTTCATTTAATTTTAGGATAAATTACACTGATTTTTATATTTATATTGATATTTATATTTTTTTAATTTAATTTTAGGATAAATTACATTGATTTTTATATTTATATTGATATTTATATTTTTTAATTTAATTTTAGGATAAATTACACTGATTTTTCTCGAGTTTTGGGCAAATTATACACTTAATGAGCGTTTGACTTTTTTTACTTTGACCTCCCTTCAGATTTAGTACGTCGGCAATTAATAAAAATTGGATAACTTTTACCTACACCCTTTAACGTTTGTTAATATTTCCTCACACCCCACGTTTGCCAATATTTTACTCACACTTCTTCTATGTTTCATAATTTCACCTACATTCCTTATACGGAAATGTACGTTTGTCAATATTCCACTCACACCCCTTTTACGTTTCATAATTTTACTTACACCGTCTACTTACTAACGGAAATGTATGATTTTACGATGTTGCCAATAAATTATATATTGATATTTATATGCCAAAGTATGTCAAAATAAAAATAAAATGTTAGTATAATGTGATGGAAGAATAAAATGTTAGCTCTATTATTCAAGGTATGCAGAGCTTTATTTTATCGAAATTGCAGAAGGAAAAAAACAATAATTCTAAAACCAAACTCAAAGCATATAATATGAAATAAAAATTACTATCGCTAAAAGATACTTGAGCTTCTTTATTATTAAATTTTAAATCCTAGATAGCCATTGATGCAAGAAGCATGCAAGTCACATGCCACAATTATTATATATTTTTTTGGATATTATCATTTTATACTATTTCTTCCAAATTACGCATTTGACCTTATATAACACATTTTATTAGTTTAAGACTAAGTCACACAATTCTTCTTAATGAGTATACCTCTCACGCTTCGAGCGCACTCTCGCTTTGACGCTCTGCGCGCATTCTGTCTCAAATTCTCACTATTTATGACTTAATTCCATCGCTCTCACCCTCCCACTTTATGTGACTAAAGTTTAAGAGAGTGTTTATTAGTTAGGGGGTTATGTGATGGAAATTGGTAGCTCTGGGGTTTTTGTGAATTTAGGCCTATTTTTTATTACAAGGTAGACGTCAGAGAGTGTTCTTTCTTTTTCTTTTTTTGGGATGAAGGTGGCTACATTGTTGCTAATAAGTGGCACATAAGGAAACGATTTTGGCACTCCCTTTTTCACTTTTTTTTTTTTTAAACTCATTAATAAATCATTCTTTATAAATACCATAAGTATTTTTTTCATTACAATTTTTATTTATTTTCTCTAGTATTTTTTTTTTTATAATATTGACAAAACAAATAATTTATTTATGAGAGACAACATGCATTGAAAGTAAAATGAATCATTACAAGCAGGGACGGACCCAGCAGGGGACTAGGGGGGGCAGATGCCCCCCCTGAATTTTTAATATTTTCATTTTATACCCTAATGTTTTTAAAATTTATGAAAATGCCCCCCCCTAAAATTACAATTCGCCCCCACTGGATTCTTTTTTTTTTAGCATTTTATACTTCAAATTTTGATAATTTATGAAGATGCCCCACTATAATTATAATTTGCCCCACTATATTTTTTTTTTCATTTTATACTTAAATTTTTTTAAAATTTATGAAAAAAACCCTACTAAAATTACAAAAATAAACCCATCATATAATTTTGTACCCACAAATTAAAAATTCGCCCCCTCTCACCAAATTTTCTGGGTCCGTCACTGATTACAAGGCTTATGTGGGTTTAAGAAGAAACAAAATATGTACATTTCCTACCTTCTTGACTTTTCTTTCCAATAATGTGAATCGTGTGATTGAAGAAAAAATCTTGATCCTCGAGAGCAAATCAAAGTCAAAATAAAATGATAATATTGTGTAGCTAGAGCTCTCTTATTCAAGGCACGTATAACTCTATTTTATCAACAACAAAAATAAATAAATAAATAAAATAATAATAATAATAAAATAAAACCAAACTTAAAGCATATAACATGAAGTAAAAATTTACTTTCGCTAAAAAAAAATATTATACTTGAGATTCTTTATCATTTAAAATTTACACCATAGAATAGCCATTGATGCGGTTCCTTTGCAAGAAGCATGTAAATCGCCTGCCACAATTATTTTTTTTGGATATTATTATATTGTATTATTACTTCCAAAAACATTTTTTTGGTCAACCATAGCGTTGTCAAGTTTTTTAAAAAGTACTACATGGTTTTTTATTTTTATTTTTCTTTTTTGAAAGGTTTAAAGCATTCTATAGTTCAACTCCAGTCACATATAGTCTTTCGTTTCATATACGTACAAAATTATCGAAAAGTTCACTCAAATTTATTGTTTTGTACTCACAACTTCCTTGGAGTTTGTAACCAAAATAAAAAAATTGCAAGAAATTAGTTATGTGTGGTTACAATTATATATATAAGATTTAGAGGTATCTCTGGCTTTTTTTTTTTTTTTTTTTTAAGTTAAAAATTATAGGTGAAATAACACATAATAAAAAAAGATTGAAACGTGAGAATGTTGGCTTTTGAAGTCAATGAGCAAAACAACATGAAAAAGGAAGATGGAGGTTCATGAGAAGTGTGGTTCGCCTGAGCAAGAAACAACGTTGGCTTTTTCAAAATATTCGTGGTGTATGAGGATATCTGAGGAGAAGATAAAGGCGGTACTGAATTTTTATGTCAATACAATGAGTTGGAACTCTTCCATAATTGCCCATCATCCACAATTAATGTCATACAGCTTGGATAAGAGGATAATTCCCAGATGTTCAGTACTTCAAGTTTTGTTGTCCAAATGTTTGATTAAGAAACCCAATAATGCAGAGACATTGTTGCATTGCACAGAGAGTTTGTTCCTTAAGAAGTATGTGACCTGTTATGTGGAAGCTCCTCTGTTGTTGAAATTATTGTTGGAAACGGGAGCATTAAAACATAAACTTTGGATGAGGTTTGAAATAGATTCCACTAATAATTTTTTGTGGATCTCTAGATGAGCGCGTTTCTCTCCGCAAGAAGATTAACGTGGTATATTTACTTTCTTAAATTCGTTTCCAGGTGAATGAGAAATTAGCTCCAAAGTATGGTGTTTTGATAAACCTAAATGGGTATGCAAAATGTGGGAAGTGTTTGTCCCACATGGAAAAAATATTGAAACAAATTGAAATTTAAATAAGCAGAGTTTAGGATTTGGGCTTGGGCTTAGTCCTAATTGTAAAGTCCAAATTATTCTTTTTTGGAATTTTGGATTAGGCCTAATTTTGGGCTGGGCTTATTTAAATAGGTTTCACAAATGGGTGGGTTTTTTGGGTGGTTGATTTTTTGAATTAAAAAAATTACTTTTTAGTTTTTCTAAAAGGTTACACATTTTAAATTAAAAAATCATATTTTAGTTTTTCTAAAGGGTTATACCTTTTAAATTAAAAAACCACTTTTTAGTTTTTTTAAAGGGTTACACCTTTTTCCAAACCATCATGACCCATGGTTGCACCCACTCGAAAAGGTACATTGCAATCCATTGGAAGGGATGTGTCTATTGGTGAACAGACACCATGTAAACCATTGCAACCTATTGGAATAGATGTGTCTAGTGGTGAACAGACACCATGTGAACCATTGCAACCTATTGCAATGATTATGTCCAATAATGAAGAGATACACCCAATCCGAAAAGGCATTTCTGTTTCTATAAATACCCCCCTTTGGATCATTTGCAATTCATTCATTTTCATTTTCTTCTATCTCTCTCTCTAGACTTGAACCCAACCCAAGTGGGTTCAAACCAAAGGTTAAGTGGTTCGAGCCACTTAGACCCTAATCCAATTTCATCGAGCCATATTAAGATTGATCCGAACCATTTGGTTCGAATTACACCCAATTCAGCATTTATATAGTATATAGATGCATTTTTGAGTCAGAGAGAGTATTACACGGAGGATTTTCGCCGTATCCACGAGTTTGTAGTGCTGCTACTGGTGGATGTAAACCGTTGTATCCTGAGAGATAGACGTCACTGAATCCGTTAGCACCATAGCGGGGCGAATCTGTCTTACGGACATAGTATCCAATACTAGCCTCGGTCCAGGTTCATTCCTTATACATTATTATTATTTTATTATTTTATTTTGCATATTTAATTAAATATAGAGTTGCATATTTAATTAATGATTTCTTAGCATATTGTTAATTATCTCATGACATATTAGTATAAGGGTTGTTATATCTTAAAAGTCACATTAAGCATATATTTTTCCAACAATCTTAAGACAGATTCACTCATTACGTATGTTTTATTATATGTTTCTATTTAAGATATAAACAAGTAAAGATCATACTAATAAATGAGATATAATAAAATAATGTTATATACATTATTATATGATAATATACTAAAT